AATTTGAAAGTAAATTAAAACAAAATATAATTTTACATTAAATAAAAAAGTTTTAAACTTAATTAAAATAAAACATGTCTTAAATTAAAATAAGTAAACTGTCACATTTGGACAGTGAGGGAATGTCAGGATTCTTGCTCAGAAAAAGGATCAACATGAAGTCACAGCACAAAAACCTTTTTGTAACAAAATATCGATTTCTGCTGTCCCTGTATCGATACATTATTAGCAAACAAAATATCACGATACTACACAGTATCGATTTTTTCCACAACCCCTAATCACTATAAAGAATTCTTAAAAGTCTCAATGCTTTCACGAAAAACTAAGACAATAATTTGTTTAATAAGTAAAACAGTTTCACAGAAGTCCCATATTTTTTAAAAATCTCACACTGCAGATGGGATTTGTGTTTGGAATCAAATTGAATTGAAACCCTCACGCCGAAACTTGATTACAGGTTGCAGTTGAGGCCGCTCACTTTGTGCAACGGCATTCATTTATAAAATTTCTTAAACACATGTTTGCATTCATTGCATTTACATGAAATGCTAACCTCTGAATGTGGTTACAAGCATCGCCTGTGTGTTTAAATGGTTGGTGTATTTGGAGAAAATACAGTGTCTTTTTGGCATTCAAGAGCTGTTTCCAATTCATGTGTGTCAAATTACCATCTGTAAGTAAATGGGGAGGAATTGCACTGACAGACAGTGTAGCAGTGAATGGGCCTCATTTATTGCTACACAGGCGTACAGTACATTATGCAAATCAAAAACTATGAAGGAGGTGAAATCAGGAGAGAGACAAAAACGTTGACATATGAGAAGAATGATTCTCTGCGACATCAATATGCTACTAAATCACATTATAGGGGGATTGGAATATAAGCATACATATGCAGCTAGGTCTTAGCTATCACTGCTCTCTATTTTTTTCCCTTTTGTTTCATTTTCCACCGCTCTCTGCTCGGTCTCTTTAGCCTGACTTGGCCCCTCTTTGCGTTTTTCTTCAAACCTTCTTGATTCTTGCTCCTTCCCTCTCGCTTGTCTTGCTCTTATCCAATCACAGAGCTTTCCAGAGGACTTGACACTGAGGTTATTGTATGCGAAAGATGATTCTCTCTCCGCTGGCACTGCTGAGCTCTCACGCAAACTACCACTCTCCCATGGCGATGCTGCCAAACTTACCGGCACTAACAGGCTATGACACACGAGTTCTATAAGCCGAAGATTTGGCTTTTGCTTTTAGAAAGAGGTGATTTTCTCTAGATTAGCCATGCAAAATGATATTATAATTGGCTGGAACTTTGATCTTACAAAGACAGAACAAACTGCACTGTGAAATCACTTTGTCGCTTCAGGTTAAACTGTTGTTTTACTGAAGTATGCGGTGTAAAGTAGAAAAGGTGTCTGAATCAGAGGTTAGAGTCACTGTAGTGAATAAAGTTTTTGAACACTGGCCAAATGGGGCTTGTCTCAGGAGTGCCTGGCCTCTGCCTCTTCTCTGTCAACATGTATCAACTTACACCTTGCCAAGAGCAAAGGCTCAACCCTCACTATTCCCTCTCCTGTTTCACTTGCTCGCTTTCAATCTTCTCTGCTTTTAGGAAACTTTTTTGTCAGTGGGTGCCACTGACACTGACTATCTTTATACTTTACTTGTTAAGAATAAGACATTCATCTTTTAACGGCTAACGATTATGAAATGACTTCTGTGATTTAAGATAGCTGACCTGAGTCAGCATACCATCACTCTAAATGTAATAAATGTAGCAATTAATTTAAAAAATCCCTGAGAAGGTGTCTGCTGTGTCTGACAGTCCCACTGAGAATCAGCATCCCTCCCTGCAGCTTAATGTAGTTTGTGGCACAATATTTCCCGTATTTCAAATATTTTCAGTCTATAAACTGCAGCAGCGTCTTCTTAAGTCCTCTTTTTTGACTTTATTTTGTATTTTTTTTGTTCTCATGCATCTGTCAGATGCATAAAATTTCTATTGTCATGATCGTGGTCTCTGATCCAGAGTGTGTTTGGACTCTAAATTCTGGCTTATCATTATTCTCTGTTTTGGTTGTAATCTGAGTTTTGATGTTTTGAGTCTTTGATTTAGAGCCTCTGGGTCTCTTCTTTTCTTAATATGCCTTCGAGTTTAGTTTTGTATCTTTGTATTCTGGGTTATGTGGCGATGGTTTATTTTGATTCCTGGAGTTTTGGTTTGGGCAGCACTGTTATCACTGTTCCCTCATAGCAAGGAGGTCCTGGGTTTGAATTCATCAGCCACTCAGGACCTTTCTGTGTGTAATTTTGCATCCGTGTCTGTGTGGGTTCTCTCCGGATACTCTGGCTTCCACAGTCCAAAGACATGCAGTTAGGGGTGGTAGGTCAATTGGTGATTTTAAATTGCCAATGACAGGCTGGCGACTGGTCCAGGGTGTGTACTCCAGCATGCTTGACGCTTAGACCTGCCACTCATTAAAAACATTCTGTTAAAGTATTTAACAAAAAATTAAGGTTTAATTTATTTGCACTCTATTTTATACTTTGTATTTTTAATTGGGTTACAGTGGTGAACTGTTGTCTGAGAGCAAGTGGGTCCTGGATTCAAATTCACTGGCTGGATGTGGCCTTTCTGTTTGCATGTTCTCCCTGCCTGTAGTGGTACCACAGCCTCTTCACACAGTCCAAAACATGCGTGTTAGGGTAACTGTTGATCCTAAATTGGAGTGAAGGTGTGAATGTGAGCGTCAGAGGTTGTCCATCCCTCTCTGTTAGCCCTGCAATAAATAGACTGATGACTTGTCCCGGGTGTAACCTGCCTCTTGCCCTATGACAGCTGGGGCAGGCTGCATCCCCCAGCGACGCTGGATAAGCCGATGGAAATGGATAGTTAGTGTCTGGAATTACTGCTATAGTTGGAGAGCAACAAAAAAGGCTGAAAAAAGAGCGGCATGCAAAGGCCTTGGATTGTTTTTCACAGGGATACATATTAATGTAGCTGTAAGGTCACTGCTATCCAATTCCCTAATGATACATTTGTAGGTGTATTGAATAAACAACAGCAACAAAATAAAACAAAAATCATTCAAATCCATTCAGATGTCTCTATGCTAAGGCTTCAATTATCGGTAATCCCCCGTTGTGTGCCAGCCAGACCGTCACAGTAGGGGGCGTATTGAGCTTTGCCGGTGGCATTCCCCATTGTTCTAACAACACTCTGCAAAACCACAGAGGCACCAGAGACCCCTCATCTAAAACTGAGGGTAGCGGGGTTGCTATAGGAACCACCGAGCCCATTAGGAAGCTAAGATTACCCAAGATAGTAGAGGAGGAGAAGTGATATCAAACAAATGCATTTATATGCTTTTATGTTCACGTGTGGTGTTTGTTTAGGCACACACACACACACACACACACACACACACACACACACACACAC